AAGTAAAATCCTAAGTGAATAAAATTATAAGTAAAATCATGTAATTGCAATCTATTAAAATCATAAGTAAAATCATATAATTACAAACACATGGTTGAAATCCATTAGAATTTGTTAAAATCTCAATTGAATCTACCCCCTTAATTCGTATGAAGTTACGTATAACACAAAATTTCTATTGGGGGGAATTTGCACCAAGTACGAATTTCAACTGAATTTCTTCATCGACATTGTTAAAGCAAATGGCAATTTCATGGCCAAATGCTGGAACTCTCACCCCTGCAAAATATAAAATGATAAGAACCAAGTTGGAGCTTCCATTTAAAAGCAGAAGAAAAGTTGCATTTTCACATTGACTAAACCTGATGTATGCATACATGTCGGAGAAGATGATTTTGTGTCCTTGAGTATATTCAGGTTCCATAGGCCTAATGTCTGACCTGCAAAGAACTTCGGAATTCCAAATTCCAAAGTTCACTACTTTCATCTTCTTTCACAAGATCTACAAAGAACTTCGGAATTCCATGTACAATTCAAGGTCTTTGTTCTTGTAGGATTCGTAATTTTTCAAAAATTCATCGATGGGTTTCAAAATTGAATGTCTTTTTTCTTTTCAACAAAAAAATTATGGGATAAAGGATTAAGGAATTTGTAATTTCAAATATTCATCTATTTTCTTTTGTATATGGGTTTTAAAAGTTGAATAATTGTTTCTTTAAATGAAAACCTTTGTTTCTTTAATCTCTTTTTCTTGTTTATTGGGTTCAAAATAGTTTCTTTAAAAGTAGAACTTTTGAGATATGTGTTGAGGTCCAAACAAGTCCATGGTTGGGCCCTAATAAGTTTTCGGTCCAATACGATACTGTATTAAGAAAAGTCACATATCGGAGTACACGAAGGCTCGTCATATGCAAGTCATAGTCCACATGCCATGCTAAATAAATAAATTGTCATGCCAAGGACTGAAATAATATTATAAAATACAAGCCCATGCTAAGCTAAACACCGTGTCCCTCTTCAAGGACTATAAAATTGAAGCACGCCAAGCGACATGTCACGCTAAGCAAGGAATTATTATTCCGCACCCAATCACGCCACAAGCTTAAGTGGGCCCCAAGCCACTCAAATACCTGGGGCTTGCTTGAGTGGGTTGTGGTATGGATGGTAATAAATTGTCATGAGGCTCATTGATGGGCCCAGAAATGGAAGTCTCGAGTTGCTTGGGAGCCTTGGGACTCAAGCCCATTTCATAGGCCCAAACATGTGGGTGAGCACAAGAGAGAAAAGAATGGCCCATCACTCCAAACAAAAATAGCCCAACCAAAATAGCCCAACACTTGATAAAGTTAGCCCATTTATTTGATAGATCAACATTTTGTCTTAGAAGGCCCATACAATTAGGACAAAGAGGCAGCAAAACCCCAACAGCTGGATAGAAAACAAAGCCACGGGTGAAGATTGAAAGGCCATGTGTGCAGAGCTGCTGGGAGGCTCCAGCACGTGGAAAGGAACAAGTTTCAAGCAAGAAACACCAGCGAAACATGGGATGTTGGCGAGCAAAGTGGGAATCATCCTTTGAACCAGCATGTATACCTATTTCTTTCCTTCATCAGATCTAACCATGAAAGAGGGGAGGAAAGAGAGGAAAGGGGATGGCTGAAAATAGGAACTCTTCACTAGGGCAGCTGTGGGAAAGGGACCTTGAGTCCCTAAAATCCCTGATTTTGTGCAAAGGAGCATAGTAGATTTCACCAAAACAGGATGATTAAAGGGATTAGGGGAGAAAGGAAAGGAAAGACTTGGCAAAATGGGATGGAAGCCATTAGGGTTTCTTTGAAAAAGAATGGCTTCCAGCGGCTATAAATAGGGCATCTTCTACCCAACAAAAATCAACCACATCCAGAGAGCAAGCTTTCTCTCTCACCTGCAAAACCCAGCAAATTCGTGCTCTACTCATATTTTTCCCCATTTTTCCTCTTCAGGCAGACTGACAGAGCCTCTGTCAAGCTGCTGGAAAAACACTTAAGCCACCCATTCATTTCTTTCCCTCATTATCAACCAAACTTTTTTGCAAAACCCTTTCTCTCCTACCTTAATACCCCACATTTCCCCTAAGAACACTTAATTTTCTCTTCAGTGCTAAACTCATGACAACTTTGCTCCCATGCCACAAGCCTCAAGCTAAGATTCTACCTGTAAGCACTAAGAATTTATTTGTAAGCAGCCATTATTTTTGTTGGTGAAGGTAACCAAGGTGTTTCCTAAGGCCCTACTGTCCTTTCGGAGCATTCTTGGGGCTTAATTTATGAACTCAGGCACATGGGACAATTTCATCAATTTGCTCCTTATGGCAGCTCAGCCCATTTGTAGCTGCCGGAAGAAAAAGGGCCCTACAATATGCTTCTTTTGTCAAAATTGATTAAGTTTTCTTTTTGTATTATAATGTTTCTTTTGCCAAAATTGGTTGAGTTCGTACGTGTTAATTTGGAAAGTTTGTAAATTTTGACAATAAATTTCATATTTATATCTAAATTACACGTAATTTTAGAACCAAAATGCTATTTTTTTTCAAATGAAAACAATGTCAACTTTTTCCATTTTATGAATTATACGTGATTTTATGAAAACTTTCTAGTTACTTTTTATGAATAAACATACTAATAGTTTCAAATATATAATGTACCGAATTATTTAATTTTTCATGAACGAAAAATTTCTCATTATCTTATAAATAAAAAGAATGTGTATATATTTGGTTTACTATTTTGATGGACAATAATATATCAATTTTTTTCAATTTACCTACTACAAAGTAACGTACCTACTATGAATGGTATGTTGTATATTAGGTGCATTATTATATGTAGGTAAATTAGTGGGGGCGCAAAAAAGAATGTACCAATAGTTATATATATATTTATTATTTTTATAAGCACATTTTTTATTGGATATGTAATTTAGGGATTTTAGTTTTTGGTTTAAATTTTTTTTAGAAATTGCCGATGGTTTAAAAAAAGAAGAAGAAAGATGGGTATGTATGTGACTAGGATATAGTAGTTGTAAGAGCCTATATTGGAATAATTCCCAAATACTAGCAACCTTAAACAAGAAGGAATTTATCACGCATAACATAGTGTGATTACTCGAAAATAGCAAAACAATGCAATCCACGAACGTTTCATATAAATATTTCTACTAAACAAGGCAACCCACCACTTCCTACAAAACCATAATTTCAAAACCCATTTTCAGAGCCTACATATATAATACTCTTTTCTTTTGTTTTCTTCCTCCTTCCTCGAAGATCAATGTTTAAAAGGAAACATCAATCATGCAAATAGAAAAAGCCAACAAACTGATATCAATACTAAAAAAAACTTTGGAAAGCAATGAAGGAATTTCATGCATAAAATAAAAGAAATAGGAGGGAGAAGAACTGGGTCAACTCAAATTCATCCTTAACTTTAACTCAATCATGCAAACTAGGGGTATGGGCATCAATGTGTCCGAACTGATGAAACCGATCAATTCAAACAGTAATTATCAGTTTGGTTTGGTTTTAACAAAGAAAAGGTGAAAAATTGAACTGGACCATATATGTAGTTTTGAGCTATAAATCGGCATAAACCAAACCGGACCGTGTATATTTATTTAATTATATTTTTAATTTACATGTAATACTCCAATGAGGTAATAACTATATATGGAGTTGAATTGAGCTATATTAGTTATTGAAATGTGAAATTTTATGGCATGTTGAGCTTTAGGATGGTTTCGTACTCTAGAAAATGATTTAAGTATGGAGCAAGTTAAAAAAATTGTTGGTTGTAATTGGACTAACAATATTGAAAAAAATACAAAATGAAAGGGAATTGGACTTAGGCCCAAACTGGCCGAACCAACCCGTCTTAAATGAAATTAACCACAAATGCAGTTTGTATACAAGGGGATCATAGCTGTGTTAGCCACAAATAAAATTAACCAAATAACCATGAATTTCAATTATAACTTATTAAGTTAAAATTAGTGATTATCACTTTATTTTTATAATATTATAATAGGATTTTGGAGAATGCAATGGAGCAATTGCTAGCAAAGCAATCGGCTATGGTCCGTGGCTTTGGTTATAATGTGATTTGGCTGGAACTTTTGTATCCTGTGATTTGGTTTTACCTGCAAGAACATGTGCCAATCCTCCACGGCCTCTTTAATCATACTAACAAAGACCAAAGGGGCAATCAAACTTATGGAGAAAAAGAAGTCAAAGAACTGATGGATAACACAGCCACTAACAGAAAATAAAGATTGGCAACCTCGAAAAAGTGCTTTTGGAAGAAATGTCACAAGCATGCAAAAGAATACAGTTTGCTCCATCTGATGACCCTGGCATTTTCTGACCAATGAATGAATTTGAGAGCTTCACTCTTTTACATTTGCAGGCCAACTTGGCTTCAACTGTAAGAAAATCTGACTGAAGCTAACCGTCTGTCCCTTCCACTCATCGAACAGACTTTCATAACAGAACCAGCACTGTTGGTTATAGCATTGGCCTTCATCATGGGAAACATCGAAAGCCAAATAAACAATGGTACAAGAAAATTGTCTTCTTATATATACCGTCCTCTTCTCTCACTTTGGCTAGCTTTTAAAAGGTGGTCTTCCAATGCTGAGATTTGCAATTTCTCCCCAAATCATATGTCAAATGACATGTCATTACTTTTTAAAACTACTTAAATTCCAAATGAATATACATGGTCATAATTCCAAATGAATATAAGATGGGGCCGCTTGGCGTAGAAGCTGTAGAAGTTACTAAATCATAATCCAAGTTGGAATTGATGTACTGTATAAATATGAATTAATTTTTAATTGAATTAAACTGGTAACCAATCTTAATTTAGTGCCTCTTAGAGCAATAGTTTTCACTTAAAGAGAAAGAAACAGATGATGATGATCCATAGATGGATAGGGTGAGCCATTGGCTTGAGTGAGTGAGTCGATCAGTCCACTACAACCAGAAATTGATAGGGTAGGGCAGAGATGTCTGCTTCCATGGTCTTTTTGGGATCCCCTTCCATTTCCCCATCAGTGTCCAAGAAGCACTCGACCAACTTGTCATTCCTGTATGGAACCTCCATACTCAAAAACTCTATCTGTGGTACCACATCCCCGTACCCTTTTTCCTTGAACTTGCTCTGTATTGCCTCATAATCACTCTCCCATGGATGTGCCCAATTCAAGTCATAGTGTAGCCAGCTGGTGATCACAAACACCTTGTTGATCATCTGTTCCGGCTTCAAATTCCCTTTCACAGCAACTTGCAGAATCAAATCGAACACCTTTTGAATATCAACCTCCCCCTCCAGGCAGTCCATCCTCCTCAAAAAGTCGCACTTGGGCTTGAGGCCATCTCCTTGTGGTATGGAATGCAGACGAGGGTTTCGGCTGAAGTTGATCACCTTTCCTTTCCATGCCGGCTCTTCACTCAGTTCAGACACTAACAGTCCCAAGCCCACCGATACGTCAGCGGAGGATCCACTCATTCTTGAGGGGCAGACATCACAAACAGCCAAGCTATTGTTCAAATTCTTCTTCTTTTTCTTAGTTTTGCCTGTGCATGTGCCCTTGATCATGTCCCCCAGCATTGCGTTCCACTGAAGCTCAGCCACTTGCCCGAGATCCTCATCGTTCACATAGGGTATGATCTGATGTGGAAGCAGAGCCGACGGGTTCTCAATCTTGGAAGCTTCAACTTTCAGGTCCTCCAAATACATCTGAAACACGCAGTCAGGTCCTCCATCAAACGACTGAAGAACATAACCTCCTTCGTCAGCCGAGGCAGTTGGCTTCCTCAAGGGCTCCACAACCTCCTTCATAAGCCGCTCTCGGAGTCTGTAGGCGTAACCGGCCTCCTTCTCCTCCTCCTCCTTAACATCTCTTTGTGGGTGTGGATGCTGAAAAACGAGTGCCGCGGGAAAGGGAGGTTGCTTGTTCGGGGGAGCCGATAGGCCGCGTTAGTGGTCTCCAAGCACGTATTAGAAGAAGACTCATCATGAATATTATTATCCATTTGCATCCGCTTCTCCTTCAAAAGTTGAATATCACGGTTGAGGCAGTGGGCAAAAAGATCCGAAACGAGGTCGTGTAACAAGCGATAATCGGGGTCAGTCTCATACCTCTCGACAGCCACCTTGTCAGCCATGGCGAACATCATCTCTTCATCGACCTCGTCTTGGCCTGCAAGAATCCGGTAGAGAATCTGCACAAGGTCATACAAACCACGCCCATGCCCGAACCCGGCGGCAATAAGCAGAAGGTTGGAGGCGAGGGTCTTCGGGTGGTTGTGATGGAGCCAAAAAGCCGCCGTGTAGAAGGCTTTGGCATCTGTCGTTGAATGGTCTACGATGTGGCAGATGAGCTTGAGGGTGGTTAAGGGATTGTGGGACCAGGCAACCGGGAGGAGTTGCTTCAGATACCTGCGGTAGGCCTCTGTTTTGGCCGGGGTGTCACATTCGTCGTGTTGGTAGACGCTGACATACAAGTCAAGGCAGGGGTTGAAAATGTGGTGGACGGTTGCTGTTGTTGAGGGTGAAGGGGGTGGTGATTTTAGCAGTTGTAGCTCTGGAGGAGGAGGAGACACCATTAATCTTGTGAGTCTGCCGCCCATGACATTCAAGTGGCTGCCGCGGCATGCTTTCAGAAGTGAGATGATTCGTACTGGCACTTGATTCATGATGAATTTCCTTTACTCAACCAATTTTGCGAGATGGGGAGATTTGATATTTTCTATGAATTTTTTAGGACAAAAGGGCAGTTAGACTTGGAACTGAAGAAAAGTAAAAATTAATATTTTATTAAAAAGAATCTTTTTTTTTATTTTTAAATTTTTATATGGGGTCACAATTATTAAAGAGAATCCCTTTTTATATGGGGTCACATTCTTTCTTTTTTTGAAATCTGTCCATCCTCTGTGGACAGTAGATCTAGTAAAGAAGGGTTTGTTTCTTGTACAAGTTTTAAGATTCTTTCCTTCGCCATGTGCTGTAACAATTACTTTCCTTTTTGTATTTGTACTAGGATGGTATTCTAAGGTTTAAGGCTTAGGTGCGTAGGGTTTAGGTTTAGGTAGATGATGTAATGTAAGCCATCTCTCTCTAGAATATAAGAACAAGAGTATGGAATTAATAAAATAAAATCCGTCAAAATAAACACTACTTACTAGTAGTCTTATTTCTCTCCTCTCCTCTCCAGCAAAGCAAAAAACAAGTTCCCTTCTTGTTTTTGTTCACTGTTGAATTTAAATTACGACGATGAAAGTGGCGGAAATGCGACTCATCTCGGCTCTGCATGTATGTCGAAAACATGCGCATTGGGTTCCTCCAACCCCAAGAATGGCTCCTCCAACTCCAGCAGTTCCAAATCTTCCACCTTCCTCTCCCACCTTCGGCAACCCCTGCCTTGATCTATTTTACCGCCTCATCAACCCATGGACCCCGGCCAAGCAGCAGGCCAACCTTAACTATCTGAACCAGCTCCTTCCCTCGGCCTGGTCCCATAATCCCCTCACCACCCTCAAGATCATTTGCAGCCTCCTCTTCGATCCTCGCGGCGGCCGCGACATCAACGATACAGAAGGCTTCCAAACGGCGGCTTCCTGGCTCCACCTGAACCACCCCAAAACCCTGGCCTTCAACCTCCCGGTTATTGCAGGCGAGTTCATGCATCTTGACGATGTTCTCGAAATTCCTTACCGGATACTAGAAGGCCAGCCCCCACCTGATTCCGATGCCTTCTTCACAGAAGCCATCGAGGAGACAGAGGATAAGATGGCCATGGCCAAAAAGGCTCTTGACAGGTACGAGCGCGACCCCCATTATCGATTCTTGCACGACCGCGTTTCCGAGTTGTTCGCGGACTGCCTAAAGTTTGATATTGAAAACTTGAAGCAGATACAATTGAAACTGAAATCAAGAGAATTGAATTTAACCCAATCTGATGATGATGATGAGGAAGATGATCACTACTACTGCTTGGACTTAACTGGGGCCGCAATGGATTGCCCTTTCGTCGACTCTATGTTCGACTGCACTACTCTGCTTTGTGAGAGCATTGCCAAGAAGATTTTCCCGCGAATTTCATACCAGGGTGTTGAGGAAGACGAGGCCGATCACGCCGACAGAGCCCGACAGCTGCTGATGAAGGAGGTTTTGTTGCCCTTGCGTGTCCCCTTGGAGGAAGAGTCGGGTTATGAATGTAGGAGGACCAATCATGGAGCTCCCTGCCCGGTTCGCGTGTATTTGGAGGAGGTGAAAACCGGAGGCAACTCCATGATTGAGGCCGACGCTCTGCTTCCACATGAGATCATAGAATATGTTTACGATTTTGATGAGCTGCGCCAAGTCGCTGAGCTTCAGTGGAAGGCTATGGTGGAGGACATCTACTTGAAGCAAGGCAAGTTTAGAAACTGCTTGGCCATATGCGACGTCTCCGAGAGCATGAAGAGGGTTCCTCTGCATGTGTCAGTGGCTCTGGGGCTTTTGGTGTCTGAACTGAACCAGGAGCCGGCATGGAAAGGAAAGGTGATCACTTTCAATCGAAACCCTCAGTTGCTTGCGATACAAGGGGATGATCTCAGGTCCAAATGCGCGTTTGTGAGGAGGATGGACAGCCAGGAGTGGCATTGCAAGGTTGATTTTCGAAAGGTATTTGATTTGATTCTGCAAGCGGCTGTAAATGGGAATTTGAGACCAGAGCAAATGATCACCAAGGTGTTTGTGTTCACCATCTACTTTGACTTTGATGAGATTTCGGCCAATCGATGGGAGAGTGATTATGAGGCAATACAAATCAAGTTCAAAGAGAAAGGATACGGGAATGTGGTGCCACACTTGGTGGTTTGGAATCTAAGCCGAGAGAATGTTTGGAATCTAAGCGAATACAAGTCTACCCCGGCCGTGCCTTGTACGCAACCGGGGGTGACCATGCTCGGTCCCTTCATCAACAACAACTTGGTCAATTCCTTCTTGGAAAATGATGGGGATATTAGCCTAGACCATGTCATGGAAGCAGCCTTCTCTACTCAACTGTATCAAACTCTGGTTGTGGTTGACTGAGTGGAATCTCAAGTACGAGGAGCATAATCATTATCTGTTTTAATCTAGCTGTGGCCCTGAAAACTATTGCATTCAAACAGAGGCACTAAAGATTAGTTACTTATTTAGTTAACCTTTCTAGCTAGCTACCAATTAGTGATTGATTACTACTTTAATTTAATGAGAAATTGATCTAATCGTTTTAATTTAGCTCAACCTTCTCTTTATTTGCTCTGCATTGCGCTTGTTATAACACAGATTTTGTTGTTTGTTGTTTTCTAGTAGCAGTTATTTGGTTGTGTTGTAGCTATAATACTGAAAGTCTAAAAATTTTATTATTAATTATTTCTAGCTGTGAGATAACTAAATACTTGCTGTCTGATATACATTATCTGGGTGTTATATTTGTGGCCCTCAGCTGCCTCCCCGATGCAGTCAACATGTGGATTGGCAACCATCTGTCGATACCTGGTTTCTGCCCTCCTTTTTGGGTCGAAATTATAGTGGGATTATGTAGTTATTTTCCCTGATATCCTATTAGGGTACATGCCTATGCGCACTGGGTCTACTTGGTCTCAAGCATGTCTTTGATCTGTGCTAAAGGCTTACACTTTACATAGGATGTACATATATTTGTATTAGTCTTTTAATTACTTCGGTTGCTCTTTGCAGCTATTAAGAGTGGTAGGACATGATGTTTCTTCATTTTAGGCGTTGTCTTGTGAGTTTTTCTTGATTTATTAGGAGACAAGTCCATGCGATACTCCATGAGCTAATGTCTCTCACTAATTAGGTCCGTCCTGATGTCTCATCACCAATCATTTTAGGCAACAGATTGTTTTCAGTATACTACCTCGTCTATATATACACATATGATCAGATTGAGGAACGAAGCAAAACGAGTCTTTCATTGATCACACATATTCAAAGATTTCTCTGTTTTGCAATTTATTTGAAATCTTCATTTTCGTTCTCGTCATTGAGAAATTTCAAAACCATGGGTTTCCGGTTGCCTGGTATTCTACATGTTAAGAAAAATCTTCTTCAGTCTTTACCAACTTCAACCAAGTACATTCAAAGGCCTTAGATGTCCCTAAAGGCTATTTTGCAGTCTATGTTGGGGAGAGCCAGAAGAAGAGGTTTGTCATTCCAGTGTTGTACTTGAACCACCCTTCTTTCCAAGATTTATTAAGTCAAGCCGAAGAAGAATTTGGATACGATCATCCAATGGGTGGTATCACGATCCCCTGCAACGAAGACACCTTTCTTGATCTCACCTCTCAGTTTGGTCTATGAGTTGAGGCTGACATATAAACACAATTTTGACACCATTGGCTGCATATGTACTTGAGCTACTTAAGGGGCAATTTTTGGATCTAACTTTGCAAGTAAAGCAGGAGAATGAGGATTGAGGAGATCGTTATCTCTGGATGAAGAAAGGGCTTGGGTTTATCATGCATTACTAATGACATCTCACATCCCTTGATTGAAGACACCTTGGATAATTAATGGGCTAGAAATTCCAAATCGCTTGTTTCCTGAGGAGAAAATGGCCAGCCCTGCGGATATAAACTTGCGAACCATTGGCCAAGTACAATGTTGCTTTGAATAGAGATTGATAAATAGCAAAAAAATTTAGTGTCAAACCATGTACTTAGTTGTTCTACAAAAACTCAAACTCGTTATAAGATGATATTTACTATTCTGATTCATAATTAATTTCATTTTTATCTTATGGTAGCAAAGTGATGCAAGCAATCACTATAGGTATCAGAGTTAAACATATGTCAGTACTGAATTCTCCACATATAATTCTAATCCATGCTTTGCCGTAACATCAATTAGAGCATGCATCTTTCTTCTTAATAAGTTGGTTGACCTCTTGCAGTGGATGACTTGCTTGATACTTTCTAATTTGAACTATTCAATAATTATAGTTTTGTTAATCTGCAAAATTTTGCGTAGTTATCAAGTTTTATGCATGGCTTTAATTATGAAGGTTCTGTCTGAATAGATGTTTCATCTTAACCAATTGAAAAGAAAACCTCTCTGGAGTTAAAAGTAGATTACATTACATGTCTAAGCAAATTTTGAAGATTTGCAGGTAAAAAACAGGATGTGAACAGTTGCATATATAAGGTATTCTCAACCGAAAAAACCTGCATTAGCTGGTACTACCTAACGTTCCAAAGGTCATTGCATATGCATAGTACATCAACGACAATCACTTGTGAAGAGGATGCTGTGCTGTATGTGCATGTTCTCCTAAGGCTTCTCTGTATCTCTTGAACATTGTAGCTAGATAGTGATGTGGCCTCTGCCTTTCCATGCATGAATTTGTGGTCTCCAGCCATCAGCAGCTGGTTTGAATCATAATCACGGTTTGGGAGACATAAGCATTTGAAGATCAGATGGTTCTGTCTTTGCTGAAAGCAAAAACTAATTTTACTACAGTTGAAGCACTAGTATGTTCATTAGAAAACTCTGGCAATCAGAATGTGCCTAGTTGTGGATAGGAAAAGTCTGTAATTTAATTAAGCTGCATCAGCATGATGAGCACGTATCTTGATATTACCAAACATCTCTTTTTCTTATACCTTGACAAGTACACATCAATGGCAGTTTCATAGACCTGATCAGTCTCTTCACATCAGGCCTGGCCTGTTTTACTGAATTACCAAACATATAGCCTTTCTTTTTCTTTTTTCTTTTTTTTTTTACAGGGAGAATTTTATTGCCTTTCCATACTTTTCTTTGACCTTGCCCATTAGCTCTAGCTCAAGTGCAATGGGATAGGTTGGCAAAGTGCTTCCTAGATCTTAGGTTCAAAGACAAATGATTACAAGGTGGATAGTTCAATTTATGGATGGTCGAACGAATTTGATTTAGTGCAAGCCAAAATCAGATATTTGACTTTTATGAGAGTGGGACAACAATAGTATGTTGATTGGTAATTAAGCATGGATTATCGAGCTATTCATGGCGAATTCAAAGCCCGTTGCTGCTAGAAACAACTTCTGTCAAATATTCCATTAGTCACTTTGTGTAAATCTGCTCCCCTATGCTGATTAATTAAACATTACATGGTAGCCAGTAGATATCAATTAAATGAAAAATGATCATCACGTACAGAACTGTAAATTGTTCAATCAAAAGGAAAATAGTTAATCTCAATTTTTCTTAGGACAACGAAGTTGAATAACTGATCTTGCTAGCTTTCAAATTCCAAGTAAAGCAATGACATTCTTGAACAAGGGTGTTGGTTAATTTTATCTGCTAGGCTGGCCATTTTCTCCTCGGCTCTCACAAGCGGTTTGAAGTTATGAACTGAGAATTATTGAAGTTGTCTTCAATTCATCCGCAGTTAGCATCTCCTCATGAAGGATGTCTTGGCTGCAAATTCAGATCCAAAAATTTGTCCTTGTGTGGTGTCAAAATTGTGCATGTATGGTGAACTTTAGCATGTTGTGCTCATACACCGAAGTGAGAGATGAGATGAAGGAAGGTGTCTTCACTGCAGGGGATTGTGATACCACCCATTGGATGATCATACCCAAATTCATCTTCAGCTTGACTTAACAAATTTTGGAATGAAGGTTGGTTCAAGAATGAAACTGGAATCACAAACCGCTTCTTCTGGCTCTCCCCAACATACACTGCAAAGTAGCCTTTAGGAACATCCAAGCCCTTTGAAGGTACTTGATTTTTCTTAGCGTGTACAATACCAGGCAACCGGAAACCCATGGTTTTAAAACTTCTAAAAAACAATGCAAATTAACAATGAGGAAGAGAGAAATTAAGCTTGCTTTGGGAATTTGGAATTAAAAGACTTGTGGTGGTTTGCTTCTGAATATGATCAAGTATATATATATAGAGATAAAGTGCTGTAAGCCAGTTACCTAAATGATTGGTGATGAAGCACCGGTGGAAGTAACTGAGAGAAAACTTCACATGGACTTGTTATTTCTAGCTATGAGATAACTAAATACTTGCTGTCTGATATACATTATCTCGGTGTTATATTTGTGGCCCTCAGCTGCCTCCCCGATGCAGCCAACATGTGGATTGCCAACCATCTGTCGATACCTGGTTTCTGCCCTCCTTTTTGGGTTGAAATCATAGTGGGATTATGTAGTTATTTTCCCTGATCCTATTATGGTACATGCCTATGCGCACCCAATGCATCAGAATCTGAATCCTCATGCACTGTATTGGCCAGCGTTGGAGTTTTAATTGATAGGCAATGAATTGATTGCAAGAAATTGAAGTAAGCATACCTGATATCAAACTATATATCATACCATGCTATACATAATGGAACCTCAATATCTAACCATATACAGAGCTGAAACTAAAAGGTGAGAAAAGTATTAAGTTCACAGCAATAGTGCGTCCTCTGCTATTTGGACTTTGTCTAACCACATACTTGGCCTGCATTAACTCTAACAGATCAAGATTTAAAAAATAGTGTGTGCCATAAGCATAAAGTTCCATATCATACAAGTGTCAAAGTAACAAAAACAATATGCACATCTTGATTTGTCAATTATTTTCATATTTCATATGTTGTGTACCAATCCAAAGCAAACATCTTTATTCTGTGGAAAGAACCATGTATCAATGGAATGGAAGCAATTAGGATTCCCATATTTGAAACAAAATTGGAAGTGGCTCAAGTCTGATGAGATTTAGACACCCAAAAAGGAGGCAGAAACTTACTAGTATAGAATCTCTCCAGGGTTGAGAGTACAGCGAAAAGTTTTAGGATCATTAAGGTACAAAGGAAAGTTAGAGAGCTACTTATCTCTGTCCTGAGGAGAAGGGTAAAGATCAACAATGCTCCAAGGCACATATCTATATGGCTTCTCTAGTTCCAATGTGAACTCTCCGGTGTCATGAGAATACGAATATTGGGCAGCGGCGTAGTCGCGGATGTACATGCAATGCACATCAGTGGGAGGAAAGGAGCAGGAAATGCTTCTCTACCTTCTCTTTTCAGTGCTTCTCTCAATTTCAGTGGT